TGTCTACGGCCATATCACGCTGAAAGCACCGGTTCTCGTTCGATCCCCGAAGTTAAGCAGCGTCGAGCCCGGTTAGTACTTGGGAGGGAGACCACCTGGGAATACCGGGTGTCGTAGACTTTTTTGCACAATATTTTTTACTTTTTTCTTACTTTTTATTTTATTTAACATAGAATATACCGAAAAGTTGTCACATTTTATACATTTACTCCACTTTTATCAATTTAAAGTTCTAAAAAGTGTCACATTTATAACTTTATAATTCTAAAGTTGAAAAAAGTTTTCAAATAGCCTAATAGTGTTATTGTAATACATGTCCAAATTTTATTGACCGTACATTTAAATAATAGAAAATTCTACACAAAAAATAATTACAAATTAAACTTTAATACATTCAATGAATGCATTCAATGAGAGAATGATCACTAAATTGATACAAAATAAACTTCGGATGAGATCTGAATATTGAAATGAAAATTGTTTTCATTAATGACTATATATTCAAAGGAATTGTGTTTTGTGTCAATGATTGTGATTTGGAAGCAATCATTCACTCGCTTTTGAATGCCTTAAGACGTTGAAGGAGTGTTGGGTGCGAGTCATACCACGACTCATACAGTGGATCCCTGACAGGAGAGCCCAGATTATCCATAAAGAGTCTGATGATGGCTGTCCTGTTGTGTGCGCCCGGTTTGAGGCGCTTCTCGAAGGCGTCGGCGCCCGACTCGAAGTGACGGCTGAAACACATGACCGCAAACCACAACAACTCATTCATCGGCCACAAGACGAACCGGAAGATGAGATACACGGCTATAATGACGGGTCGGTTGTCGTCAAAACCGAACGCATTGAAGAGAATCTCGTTTTGGAAGAGCTGTGAGAAGAGCGTGAAGTACACGAGAAGTATGGTCTCCGCGATGACCACATACTTGAGCGCGTGGTTCAGATACCAGTGCCCCAACTCGTGCGCCACAATCGACACAATCTCATCGTCACTACAGCCCACCCGCCGGTGGTGTCCTGTAGTCACGAAACCTTTGCCTTCTTTGTGGCGCTTATTATCACTTCTGTGGAAGTCTTGGAAGAGAGTGTCGAACAGAACTATTCGCTTATTCTTATAGAAGCCGAAGAAGTATGCGTTGGAATGCGCCGACCGTTTGGAGCCTTCGATGACATATATCTGCTTCAATGGAAAGTCAATACTTTTGGCCAATCGCTCGATACTAGTCTTGAGCCTTCCGTCCGGTAACGGTTTGAATGAGTCAAACAACGGTGCGATCAGATCCGGGTATATCGTCATCAACACCAATGTCACCACAAACGAGAAGAACCACAGATATAGCCACACGTATTGACCGCTATGTTGGACGATATAAAGCGTGGCACTGATAATGACGGCCAGTATTGTCTGCATCACCACATACTTCATGAGCCGGTCTTTGGCGTAGAAACCGATCGTCTGTTTATTGAATCCATAGCTCTGTTCGACAACAAAAGTGCGGTAAAGACTGATCGGTAGACCACTGATTGCGGACAATAGGCTCCCAATCATCACAAACAGTATGCTATGAATGAGTTCATTATTGGCCGCGAAGTTGAGTCCCACAAGAAGTGGACCACAAATATTTTTATTATAGACAATTTACAGTCCCTAAACCACTAATATCTAATAAAATTAATTATATTCACCCTCCCTTTTCCCCAACATATTATAAATATTATAAACAAATACCTTTCTCAACTAAGTCTCCACAAGCATATAATATTAATTATATAACCCGACCCCTTACTCCAATATATTATACCAATTATAGACAATTAATTAGCACATCTCCTAAATCCCAAATAAGATATAAATATAACTATGTCACACCATCCCTTACTCCCCTATATTATTATTATTATTAT